CTGGTTGCGTTCTCAAAAGCCACTCCTAATATTTCAACAAACTTACAATCAGAATGAAGCTTTAAAGTATACAAAACTTAAAACTACACATTTCCCCTCTTTTGGTGGAACGAAACAACAAGCATCAAACTGAAGTCATGAGCTGTGCTTTTTGCATTACTATGAAACCAGATACTAGATGGTCCGCTGCTGTCCCGGACCATATTATGGGATCAATTACAAATTTCCCAGTTGGTTTCGGAACTTTACAACTTGGCCAAACCTGACTCTTTCTGTACAACCATCTCAGCTCCTGCTAAGCAAATTAATCAAAAGCAGGCATCTGGTGGCATCTTATTATGCTTTATATGCCACTTTCGCTGCAAGCCAACCTCATCTAGATGTTTCGAACTATTTGCAGCAGCAAAATGGTCACCCCTTCATCAGGATAATTTCCTATAGCCCACATCACGCCAAGTACCTGAACATATTGGGGTTATCTTTGTCCCTCTCAAGATAGTCTCGAGTAATTAGGTCCTCGATTCGCTTCTTGATCGCCTTGAAATCAGGCTGCAATTGTCAAAGTTCTTTTATTAGCACAATCATAGAAAGCAGGAAAGTAACAGCAGACACCTGTGCAAATGGTGTACAATATGAAAAGAGTTGCAACAGACCTTGAACATGCGTCCCAACTGCTCGACACACTCCATGACCAACTGCTGGTGACCTAGAACTTTCCGGCTCTTCATGATGCGCACGATTGAGGCATCAATGGCATACCGTCTATCCTTGTCAACATCTTCAATTACTTTCTTCTTCTCATCCACAGGGGGGAGAGGAATCTGAATGATAAACAACTAAATGCATTAGAAAATATTATTTAATCAGGAGGGCAGCAAATCAGAATGTTGGTTGGTTTATTTGTTAAAAAGTACCTTGATCCTCCTCATTTTGTCAGTAAACTTGGAGTTGAACTCGAAAAGATCAGTGGGAGAGATGGTTTTCGTGCTTGGTTCCTTGTTCAGAATCTTATACTTGGCACATGACAACGAATGCAGAAGTCTAACAATGTCATCATCAATTAAGTTCAACTGTGTCATGATGTCCAAATAGCTCAGTCTATCAGAGGAATTGAAAAGCAGTAAGGCCGATGCCTAGAGACCACGAAGACTTGCCGTCAGTAAAAATGATTCTTCAACTCCATTTGACTATTTTAGACTAACGAGGGGAAAAAGGAAAAAAGAGAATTTCTCGATAAGGTTACCTGATACGTAGTGACAATCAACTCCATCGTTTTTGGTTCAAACTTCCCAATAAGGTTACAAGTACCCAAAGAATATATCCAAGTAAGTTTCCTGTGTTTGGTTTTTGTCTTATAGAAGTCCCTGAAAACTTCAACACACTTGATCTAAAGAGTTTTTTGAGGAAAAAAATGGAAGAGAAAAGAAAGAAAATCAAAGTTAGTGACTTTCAGTAAACTTGCAAGTAGAAAAATGAAAAAGAAAGACTGGAAAATAATTTTTTTGCAACATTTATGTGCATACCATCTCAGCAGGAAGGTTGAGATCAAAAGACTTGTAACTTGGCCAGAAGCCGGTAGTCAAAACAGTTACTGTCAAATCGATCCCCGGAGTTGCATTTGGTTTATTGTTCAAGTACTCCTCAAAATTTGTCTGGTTTTCCCTTGCCAATGTCAAGTCTGTCACCTTCAGAACAGAAGCAGTTCAAAAATTATCTATCTGAGATGTTAAGAAAATTTGGAAATAACAATAGAAGGCAGCTTTCAGTGCACAAATTTTAATAATGGAAACCGACCATTCCCTCCATCTTGGAGGTGAACTGGCCGCCACACTGCTGTTTCAGCTTTGTCAATATACTTCTCTCATGGTCATCATTAGCACTCTTGTCAAACAGAAGCCTTCGTGCAAGCTTTTTCCTACCAATAATAATACCCAAAAAAAATAGCTGAATATTCTCAAGCTAAATGAATTCTATATTCAAATAATGCACAACATGTACCTGTAGAATTCCGCAAACAAGTCCTTGTCACTAATATAAGAAAGTAGCTTCACAACCTAAAATGTTTACAACAAGATTACATAGTGTAAGGCATAACAGGTCCTAAAATGTAGATAGAACACACACAAAAACCTTTTCGAGTGTTTCTTCAATTGCTTCATCACTCAACTTCTCACTTCCCCCTTTCTTGAGAATATTATCACAAAAGGTGGCAAGTAGCTCTGCACTTGATCTCCCAGCAACACCCTTGTTGCAAAAAACTTCAAAAGCCTCTTTGAGAGCCTACAGAAAATTGACAGTGTTGAGAACATAAAACAAAACATAGGACTTATCTTGAAACTTATCTTCAAAACTCAATCTACTGCAGACCTTGTGAAAGAGAGTATGATTTTGAAAACAATCATTCACATATGCTAGGTATTTGTCATGCAGCTCGATCACTTTCCTCACAAAAACCTGAAAGCCACAAACAAAATCTATTTCCAAACTTTGAAACAGTCTAGTTCCATGTAAAACAAGTGAATATTTTACCTGCTCTTGCAGGCCAACCACATCCCTTTTATCTGCCTATTTAAGGTAGAAAACATTTTGGTATGATTAGATATAAACTTAAATGATATCAAATATAAATTCTACTCTTGTAAAATACAAAACTTTTAAAAGATAATGCAAGAAAGATACGAACCTTCTTGATACTTGCAGCATCCTCAGCCTGTTTGACCAATGCTGTGCCTTCAGCAGTAACATGCTGCAGCAAGAAATGAGACCATAATATTAGAAGGGTAAAAGAATGAAAATAATATGTAAAGGATTATGGAACAATAAATGAAAATCCAAGTGAAAGAAATTCAAGGTATGTTATATGAGAAGACAGTTAACGTAAGTCATCAATAAACAATTAAGTAATAAATTAATCAGTGGACAAGCTATGAAATAGTTAACCTGTTTGAAGATGCTTGACACAGGATCTAACCCTCGAGGAATTTTCGAAAAGAGTCTAAACATTCTTGACAAATCCTCCACCTAAAAGTCAAAAGAGAGAGATTAATAATGGCTGATTATCCAATATGTCAAGAAACAAAACAAATAACTTATGAGCGCAGCAAGCACCTTGTCATCTCTGAGCAATGCATGGCATCCAGAGTGCTCTTTATCAAGAAGTCGATTTGCCCAGACAGAGAGCATTTCATGTTGAACTTTCTATAAAAGATAAAGAACATCATAAGAAACAACATTTCGGAAAATGTTTAGAATATCCTTTGAAGTGCAAGATCATTTCCAACACAATAGGGTGGATTTATATAGCAAGAGAAAATATCAACCTCAAGTAGTTTTGGCTCACTACTAGAATGCAAGTAATTGGAGACCCTATCTCTCTCTCGTTTTAAACACTCCTCAGCCTGAAAAGAAGAGGCAAAATGAATCATTAGACACTATTAAATGGACAAATTTGAAGAAAAATATTCATATATATAATGCATACTTTCAACATATAATCCGGACAAGAATCATCTACAATCCAATTTGCAGCCTTCCGTGAATAATAGGCAGCGGTATCTTTGAGCATAGTGGCCTCAAAGTCATTCTCATAGTAATGCATTTGTCCCATTCCAATTTCAACGAATATATCTAAAACATTCTTCAACAAAGCTCGATCAATCTGCTCACCCTCACGTTCTTGATCAATCTGATTTAAAATTAGGAAGTTTATTACAGTTATTTGGCTGAAAAAAGAAAAGGTGCACAATAAATATGAAAAGAGAACTGAAATTACCAGAGAAATTACTGCATCCCTCACTTTTGCATTTAGCTCTTGGTAGACCTGAAACCAGAGAAAATGTGCATGTAAGATGCCAACAACATAAAGGGAAGTATAAAGTTAGTATCATAGCAAATACATTCAATCTGCACATACCAGTTCACGGAAACATGTCATTAAGGGGAGGCAGTGACCTCCGAGCAATAAAGTAGCGATCAAGGTAATGGAAGAACCGTGAAAGCCACCTAACCATAACTTTATGGTTAGTCCACCTTTTCACTAGCTCTCTCAACATAAACTCATCATGCTTTTCACGTAAGGATGGAAGTACCTATAAAGGATATATTTCATGAATAGTATTAGTAAAGAATAAAAAATTAGAAGAGATGGCACAATCAAAACTATGCTCAACAGGAACAACAGTGTATAAAAAATGAAAATCTACTATACCTATCAACACAATCGACATGACTTGCTTAGCTACAATGATTTCACTTCCATCTATAGCTTTTCTAGATCTTACAACTACAGCTAATGCAAGTACGCAAAGCAAGCATATACTCTTTTTAGATCATTAAAATAAAGGTAATCGATTGGTCTGTATTTAGGGTGGGTTTGCAGTGAGGAGTTGTAAGGCACTTTCTACAGTACCAAGAAATGCATAAGAAGATATTATCCCTTCTAAACAAATGACACAGAGAGGATTTGATTCCTCTGATACAAAAAAATATTTCGGCTAGCTTATGTTTAATGCAACCAATATGCTAACCATACTCTTCATTTTCCCTGAAGTACATATGAGACTGAGAGTATGATCCTCAAAATTTATGAAAATACTTGAAAAATTATGCATACCCATTTTGGAAACGTAACCATATCTGACACTCATGCCTAAGTCAGGATAACATAAGGCACACTATCACTAAGTTAACGACACCAACAGAAACAAAAAATATAACCATAAGGCACATTATCACTAAGTCCACCTAAACAAAGCAAAATAATTACAGCTAGTATTAGTTACCGATGATGTGATGTATTCTTCGAAAGATTCTCGATACTTATCATACAACTGTTGGGAATAGTCGTGAGGAGGCTTTTGGGTACACATATTGTAAATGGTTCTACACAACAAGGGTCAAGGGCGCCAACAAAATACTCACAACACATGAAAACGGTAATGTTTGCAATAATTCCCATAAATAAATTAAAAAAACCAACCAAACAACTACAAATAGGATACGTATAAAGCATCATATAATCCTCTGAGCTAAACTGAGGCTCTGGCAAGCCTTCAAGAATGTTCTTTAGCTTTGTGATGCCTTTTTGCATAAATTTCCATCCTTGTTCAAGGTCGATTGTCTTCCTCTCATTCAGAGTCATTGAGCCACGTCACCTCCTCGATTATCAAAAGTCAAAACCCTAACCTGAAACATTAAAGATTCAATAGCTTACATAGTCAGCTCACATTTTAGCTCAAATCACCAACATTCCATAACCTTTAGCTCAATTAACAAAAACACACAAAATACAAAAGTTTCCTCCATTAATTAACTTAAAAAATATGACTTTAAGCGACAGTGCTGTTACTTGCAACAGTATCAACATTTTCTTAGCTACCAAGCTGGAATTTTAACATTTTTATGAAACCCTTTCTAAAATTGAAATCAACCCATGCAATCTAAGCTCAACAAAACGAAAAATTCATCAAATTGAAACGACAAAAAATCCATGAAAAATAGAGAGATAAACAGGAGAGAAAGAGATCGATGGACACCTTAAATAACATAAATAAATCCTAACTAAAAATGCTTGAGAAATAGGAGGGAAAACAAATATCTCTTCGAGAGGACGAAGATTGACAGCCGAGTTCCGACAGAGTTGATGAATGAAATGGAATTTTGATTTTTTTGTCGCTAAAAGATCCTTTCGGTTTTCGTTCTTTGGTTGTTATAGTGTTTTTGTCAATAATATTGTTATTATTATCAGAGTTGATTATATTATATGTTAACTATGATCTTTATCTTAAACTAATCTCTAAATATTTGAATTCTTTAATTTCGTCTTAAACAAATATTATCATCTTAAATAGATTCTTAAACTTTTCAACATTCTAATTTTATCTTTAAATTATGACTCTCATTTTAATCTCAAAGAATTTGAATATTTTAATTCTATCTTTAAATTATCAATATATACTAATCATATCTAATATATTAATAAAATTGTTTAAAAAATTACAAACTACCATTATTTAATTCATTTATATTTAAAATCGATATGAGCTTGACAAATATTTAAAACACAAAAATTAGGTGTCTAATTTAATTAATTCCAAAACTGACGGGACCTACAATAAAAATGAATCAGAAAAATTGTAGGTGAATGGTTAATTTAAGAGAAAAATAATCTCAGTGACAAAAAATGCCTTATAATATACGATTTTAACCAATTTTTCTTGGATTTGCCAAAATGACCAACTAAATCGCAATGCGATCGATAATTCGCAACGCGATCTCCGGTATCGCAAATCAGTTTCCAGATTCGCAACGCGATTCTGACTATCGTATTGCGATTTCCCAAATTCGCGTTGCGATTTTCCTAAATAGCAATGTGAATCTGACTATCGCAATGCGATTTACATAGCGCTATTCGTATTAACGCGTATTTTTTTTTCAAATTCCAAACACGAATATATTAATATATCGGAACACTGAACCGTCCACAGTATATCCCATAATCGCAACTCATAACCTAAAACCCTAAATCACAACTCAGTCTCATCTCCATCTCTCACTCTCTAAGGCGACATCCGTCCCCATCTCCGACGAAATCAGTCCCCACGACGATAACAGTCTCCATCTCCGACGAAATCATTCACGGTCAGAAATGGAAAATCAACCAAATCAACCACCGAGGGTTAGTTTTTTTAATTATTTTTATTTTGAAATTTTTGCATTATTATTAGGTTGTTCATATTGAAATTAATGATAAGTTTACTGGTATTTTCAATAATAGATTAACCATTTCACTTAGATTGCTTATTATATTCATTCGATTGCTGCCAATACTGCTAAACTGTTTAGTCTTTAACCCTGTGAAGTTAGTATTTGTCTTTGTTTTGTCTTTTGGTTGAAGTAATGCAATCTATTTAAGTTTCTTTCAATTTTAGTATTTGAAACCGAGAATGACTATCGCAACGAGTGAATCACAAATGAATATCGCAATGCAAATTTGACTATCGCAACGAGAGAATCGCAATGCGATTTTCATTTCGCGTTGCGATTCTTGCGTTGCGATAGTCAAATTCGCATTGCGATAGTCATTTTCGTGTTGCGATTTTCATTTTCGTCGTGTTACGATTTAAAGTTTCAGAAACTAGTCTTCTTCTGCAAATTGAAACTTGAATAAATTGCATTACTTCAACTAAAAAACAAATACTAAATTCACAGTGTTGCAAATTTAAGTTTGAAGAATAAACTACTACTCTTTATGTTTATTGTTCATATCTTCACAGTGTAGTTTTTGGTATATCTAAATTGGAATGTTTATTGTTTTTGCAGAACTTTTATTCGGCTCAATTGACCTTAAGAAATAAAGTAAGCCTGGCCAAAACAATTGCGTCGAAGCTTTCACCTGCACAAAGAAAAATGTTTGAGGATACTTGCTTCGGGCCATGGCTGAAAGTACAACATCCGGGTGGAGATGCTATGTTGACCCATCTGTTTCTTCAAACCATGACTAGCGATCTACCAGAGACTATACAACGTCGTGATGAAGAGATATGGTTTGATTTTCCACCGGCTTATACGTGTTTTGGGCGGGAAGAGTTTTGCTTAATCACCGGTCTACGCTTCGGACACGATGATGTAGATCGGTACACTAGACATATTACCCGTCTATCATGGTTTTCCCGGGTTTTTCCTGAGCAGTCAACAGAGAATTCGAATTTACACGTGGAAGACTTGATGAGATTATTAAATAAGAAAGATAGTTTTACTCGGATGGATGACGTCGATGTTGTCCGAGTATGCCTTCTAATACTTTTGCAAGCCGGCTTTTTAGGCAGAGAGGACCGACAACCTATTCCTAATGATCTAATTAAATTGGTAGAGGACCTAAATGCATGGAACTTGTTTCCGTGGGGTTCGTATCTATGGAGAGCTACATGGAATAAGTTGTCGTATGCCTTTAATGATAGGAAAAGTTTGCGTGGCGATGGTTCCAAATACACTTTGTCAGGCTTTATTTGGGCCTTTAAGGTAATAATTTTTATATAATTAATCCTTTAACAATTACTAATGTTTGTTATTATATTGTTTGTAGATTTGGATATTTGAGGTCTTTCCCGCCATGCAGATATATGCATTAAAAACTTCTAATGATATTCCTAGGGCTATTTCCTGGAAGAGGAAACGATCCTTGCAGCAATGGGAAGATTTACTACCGTATATTACAATAGATAATGTAAGTTAACACAAATACTACCATATGTTTATAAACAAGTTATTACTAGTACACGTTTAACTTTGTTTGAGCTTTTATATTGTTAGGAGGCCAACACTCCATTACAGAGGCTGACACCCACGGAAGCTGAGCTTACCACTGATTGGTGGCAAGCTAGTAAGCTTTTTTTTGATGGCACGGATGATGAGCAGCCACCACTTCGAGAGCCATCACCTCACCCATAGCCATCACGTGATCGACCCGAATATACACCTCCACAACGAGAGTCATCACCTATTCTGTCACATCATCGAGCATCTTCTCCACCATCACCTCATGATAGGCGACCGACAAAGATGACACGACGTTTATCTCCCTGTTCTCCACCTCCACCTCCACGGGATGAGTTAGGAGAGTTACGTAATGAGGTCAATGCCTTGCGTGAGGAGGTCGGTACTTTACGCGATGACAATGGTGCATGGCGTGTTGAGGTGTCTACTTTACGTGGTGAGGTAGCAGCTCTACGTGAGATTGTAGTATCGTTGCAGAACGAGGTTCATACTCTACGCAATGAGGTAAGTTTAATATTTTTCATATTTAACTTGATGATAAATTTACTCGTAATTTCAGTTAGATTGCTTAGTAAATTCATTCGGTTGTTGCCAATACTATTTAACTGTTTATTCTTTAACCCTGTGAAGTTAGTATTTGTTTCTGGTTGTCTTTTGGTTGAAGTAATGCAATCCATTCAAGTTTCAATTTGCAGAAGAATAATGGTTTACTATCGCAATGCGAAAATGACTATCGCAATGCGAAAATGACTATCGCAACGCGAAAATGACTATCGCAACGAGAGAATTACAATGCGAAAATGACTATCGCAATGTGAAAATGACAATCGCAATGCGAAAATGACTATCGCAATGCGAAAATGACTATCGCAATGCGAAAATGACTATCACAATGCGAATTTGACTATCGCAACGAAAGAATCGCAATGCGAAACGAAAATCGCATTGCGATTCTCTCGTTGCGATAGTCAAATTCGCATTGCGATAGTCATTTTCGCATTGCGATAGTCATTTTCGCGTTGCGATTTTAAGTTTCAAATTCTATTCTTCTTCTGTAAATTGAAACTTGAATGAATTGCATTACTTCAACCAAAAGACAAATACTAACTTCACAGTGTTGAAAATTTAAGTTTCAAGAATAAACTACTACTCTTTATGTTGTCATTGAACCTGCACTAAACATATATGTTGTCCTTTTAAATGTTTATATAAGTGCTTACTTCTGGAATGTTATCTGATGCATTTTGTGAACAATGATATAATAATGACTTGGGTGAATACCGTGCAAGTTTGAAATATATTTGTCTTTGTTCTCACTGTTTAATATCATGTCTGTTTATTTACTGATTTATGTATTAATTTATTTTTAGCGGCCCGCTAAGGTGGATGCTCTACGTCGGGTTTTTCTTGCAAGACGGAGTTCACGCATCAGACGGCGTGCACGTGCCATTACGTCTCCGTTCACCCCAATAGTGCGAAGAATCCGTAAGAAAAAGCCCGACTCACCTGTCATCGTTCAAGAGGCCTCCCCTATCGTTCAAGAGGCCCCTATCATCCCTCAAGAGTCCCCTCCCACCGTTCAAGAGGCCACTGTCATCGTTGAAGAGGTCCCTCCCAACATTCTAGAGCCCGATTCACACGGCGTAATATATTGAATTATTGAGAAGCCCCCTCACGTGCCGGACATGATGGATGACTGTTGGCTTTCGTATAAGTTACCGGCCAGTACCATTCCGGCAGATGAAGTGGAGAGGAAACAACTACCGGAAACAATTCTGGATAATACCCTTTGGACTAAGACCGCAATTGATTTTTATCTACATGAGCGGAGCCAAGGGTGTTACGCTGACATATACAAACTCAACGATGATATGCATTTGTTGATTGAACGGTCTTGGTGGGGTGTATTATTAGGGGTTGAAGACAACGGCTATTTCGATGGGGGGGTAAGTATTATATTTCTTATATTTCAGTTTGATTAATTTTTTTTAAATTTATGTAATTCACTAATATATGTCTTTTTTTGTAAA